ATACTAATTAGTCATTCTTGGATTTCATTGTCAAATGAACGAGTACTTCTGAAATATATCTTCGATTCAAGAGAGGCGCTGTAAAATGTAAATTAATATGGCGTCAAACAAACGTGCAGACACATATCAAAATAAATATACTTTGTTCGCCTTTTTTCCGTACATGAGATAGACACATGGAAGTTTCAAATGTTACAGATACAATATATATACTTACATCGAAAACAAAATGAACGAGCGAGTTCTTCTGAAATATACAGCAGCTTCGATGAGATTACAGAGTCAGCATACATTTTAGTTGCGTCGCAAGCCAAGAACAATGGTGTAATCTTTTCAATTTGCCCGCGGCGCAAACACCTTACGTATATATGGTCAGAATTACCATATTTGGTGAGTTGTTGATAAGCTGCCAAATACAAAGGCCTACTGTCTGGCTTAAAATCAGTTGGATAAAACGTTTTCAGTACAAAATTTCCAGTAAGAACTAACCAAGGCGACGTTCCTCGCGATTCCTGCAGCTGAATAGGCATACAAAGTCATATGGCCTGATGCGGTTTTATACCTATAGTGTTTAACTGTCAAGTTCAATAATAGAAGACATATGTTTAATTTTTTTAGAACGTTGCGAAAATATCAAATCTTAACGTCAAGATGACGTTGTTTACGACGTTGTTTTGATGTCATATCCAAAACGTTGCACATTAACGTTGCTATAACGTTAAAATCTAGCATTGCTAAGACGATATCGTATGACATCCTGGAACGTTGCAAAAATATCAAATCTTATCGTCAGGATGACGTTGTTTACAACGTTGTTTTGATGTCATATCCAAACGTTACACATTAACGTTGCTACAACGTTAAAATCTAACATTGCCATGAAGATATCGTATGACATCCTGGAACGTTGCGAAAATATCAAATCTTAACGTCAGGACGACGTTGTCTACGACGTTGTTTTGATGTCACGTCCAAACGTTACACATTAACGTTGCTACAACGTTGAAATCTAACATTGCTAAGAAAGTGTCGCATGACATCCTGGAACATTAAATTTCAACGTTAAACCAACGTTTACACCACATGCTCTTATTCCAGATAGAAAAGTAATGTTGTGTGAATGTCGTGTGAAAGTTAAGTTAGATCTAACTTTGCAACAACCTTTTACCAACGTTGTAATAACGTTATGTGCTAGCTGGGAATGGCACAGACCATTAATGGTGTAAAAATAGAGTCGCCATTTGTTCTCAACGACCAGTTTGTAATAGTTTGTACCTGCATGTACTGTATTCTCTATAGTTATAATTACTCAGTTCTATATCTTTCAGTTCTAAAGTGTTGTATTTAAGCTGATGAGAAAGATTGTGACTCAATCTTTACGACCATTACGATCATATGGAAACCAGGCTTTAGTATAATAAAATGTCCAATATAATGTAAAATAGTTGTTTTTTACTTTTTATAAATTGTGAATAATGACCATGTTATAATGATGCATTATTGCACGCATTTATGGCACACATTTGTCACATTCAAGTTAAGATTAATTGTCAAAAAATGGCATGTAGGAAAAAGGTGTCACAAGATGCACAGATGCTACTAAGGTCAATGGCAAAAAATATTCAAAGTTGATGACACACATGGGAATTGGCCAATTCGTCTTGATGCAAAATTGGTCAAAATGTTTTGAAATTTATTAAAGGAATTTTTTAGATGGAAGAAAGCAAATTGGAAAGAAGAAAAAGCAGTCAATAACAGCAGCAGGAGCCACGGTATGCTTAGACTGATATTAGCTATATATCAACAGCCTGATTCAAAAAATATATACATTGATGAAAACATGCAGGCTGTTGTGGCAACCTTTTGAAGTAAACATCCACTTTTGGCAAAGTGCTCAATGGATGACCAGAGCATAAGAAATAAATTGAAATACTGTACAACCACTCAATAAATCCCACTAGGCTTTTTTAATACTATTTAGTTTCGTACCACAAGATGTGGCACTCATGACTCATCAGCAAAATTAGCCTTATGTCTATCAGCAAAACTTACAGCATTTAAACAACATTTATTTACATGCTTATTCTTTGTGTGCTTCGTAAATATGGGATTAATTTGAACCTTTTATTCACCTGTACATAACTGATGTATACGTTTACCTGCTATATAGACACAAGGCTAATTTATATGACGAATGCCACATCTCGTGGCACAAAAATAAATAGTAACGAAGATTACTATAGTGGAATTTGTTGAGTCGTTATACTTCAATTTATTTTGTATATATATATGCACATGTCAGCTTTATTACATTCCATTGGATACGTTTTTATTGTACAGGGTGTCCCAAAAAATGTCCCCTATCATATTTTGTGGTACTACATTGTTACCTGTAATCGAATATTCAAATTAAAAATTTTTTTTATCAATTAACATATTATGTTAATCGTTGCATTTTCTCGCACCAAAATATTTAACCGTTCGCCTTCTAGAGTTACTTAAGGTTGCGACACCAATATTGCCACTTGTCCAAATTGTGGTTATTAGGTTTAAACATATTATGGAACGTAATAAAATATTTTAATGGTAAATGGCTACATATTTTTTCTAAAACGTGTAATTAGTTGTAGCCAAAATTGCGAATTAATTTTCTGTAAAAATAATGAAGCAATCCCCCCAAAAGAGGAAAGACTAGTGCTGAAATCACAACATTTGCTCTTTCATGGAACAAATTGAACGGAAAACAGCAAATTTAGGGCATTTTCCTAACCTTAGCTTTGCCCATCCTCATACCCAGGGTCTTTTTGGGAAAGACCCTGGTATCGGCTGGTCACGTGACTCAACAAAAATTCATTGCCCAAGGGGAAGTGGCAAAGTATAAAATTACATGCTTCCACAGAAAACGTTAAATTTGAAATACCAGGAGTGGGGATTTTTCGATATTTAGTTCAAAGCACCCGCTAACTCTATTTTATACTTCTGTTTACTTCTAAATTACAAAAACACTGTAGCATTTTATCAACAGTCAAGTCAAGAAACAAATAAAATATATACTTTAAACTTTGAAGTTGGGTATTCTCTCACAAACCTATATTCACGTCAAACTGGTCAGTCGTCAACATTTGTACATTTTCACTTTTATCTGTTCCTGAAATATGCCATTATACTTGTTGTTTGAAAACATTGATAAACTTTGTGCAGATTTACTAATAGTACGCGTCTCATTTAGTGACGGTTGATAAAATTTTGAAATGTAATTACGACTTTAGCCTGATAATTTTTTTGCCTCCATGCACTAAGTAGCCTAATGGGGTAATAGCAATATTTATAACAGTATTTTTCTGAAATACAGTACACATTTTATAATATGAATATAGTTGTAGATAATTCCATAAACCACAGAATAAACCACGGCATAAACACTGATATCACTCAGTCTGATATGCACATGCAGTCATACACAGATATAACACTTACATAGTCTTAGAGTTTGATTCAGTATTATATTTCACAAAGTGATTTCATTACAGTAAAACTAATGTCATAATTAATGCTATTTATCAAATTTATCATGCGGACTGCATTCTCTTTTTATACTGTAAAATGTCCTAAATGTCAAACATATACAGTATTCGAATTTGTAACATACATGCACAGACGAGTCTTTCACTTATCTTCGGGTAGGCTATAGTATTGTCGGATTATTTTACGGTATGTTTGATAACAGGGAGGTATACTTGAGCATCAAGTTTCAACAGATTCTGGTTTTTCATATCTCTGCATGAGGATGGTTCTGAAGTTTCAGCAGTCCGAGTAGCATTGTTTACAAGCAACATAGTTTGCGACATTTCAGAAATTAAAAGATCTCTATATTTCGTTACATATCTCAGTATTAAATAAATCCTTTAGGATAGGCATCAACAGCTAAAATACAGCCACATCGGTCGGTAACATTGTAGAAATATATTTTCTTGTAACGAAACGCGACGTGCTGATTTCTTCGAGCTGTATCGGCATAATTTGTCTATTGAAATCTGATCTATCTTTGCTCACCGACATTCTGCGCACAATGAAATTTGATATTTACTATTGTGTAACATTGATAGTATTCTTGACAAATAAAATATACAATTTTGTAAATATTTCCTGCATGATTTCTGGGTTATTTCTTCGCTCACTCCTTGTTCAATGACAAAACGTACTTAGGTACCCACCCTAATTGAAATTTTTTGTTATCTCCCAGATTCTGGGAGACACGTGACCAGCCGATAGCAGGGTCATTCCCAGCCGGTGGAAAGTCCCTGCGACGGAGGTTAAGCTTTGCCTTTGTCAATTTGCCAGGGATTTTTCTATCTTTTTTTTTATCAATTTCTACAAGAAACAAAAGTTTAATAAGAGATAAAAAAAAAAATGTTTTCGAGCAGAAAGGTGGGTAGAAATGTTAGAAATCCTTCTACAAAGTTTGCATTATTTTTAACCTAATTTCTGTAATTTGGACTGGTTGCAAAATTGGTGTCGCCACCTTAAGTATCTCTAGAAGCCGAAGTATTTTGGTGAGATAAGAGATATGGAACAAAAAGGAAATGCCTAAAACGAAGAAAACTAAACAAGACAGTCGATTTTTTAAGCCTCCGTCAAAGCCATTTCCAAGTGACAAGATTTTTAATCACACAGTTACCAGGTAAAATTAAAAGATAGATATTTCACAATTTTTTTTTCACCGAAAAAAGCATGCATGTTTGTATAATGTATATAAGTGCATTGCTAATACTATACGTCGTTCGTGGATCGTTATATATTACGCCATTTATAGCTTTTTGAAATAATTATTTTGTGTTAAACTTTTAATTCTTTTTTTGTAATCGTTTTTAATATAGCAAGAACAACCCATCAACTCCAAGAAAGGCTGTTAGTAAAGCCTTGCATAATGATACAAAGGCATACACAAGATTAATGAATTTGGGACACTCATGCTGGTTCAACTCCATACTGAAAAGAACATGAAACAACTGCTTTTGGAATACAATTATTCGCATGATCAGTTGAAGGAAGAAACGAAGCGTTCATTCCAAGAGCTGAACCTCGACCTCATCAATTTGGATCATGTGGAGAGTGAAGTTACTGCTATTCTGTTGTCAATCAAGCGACACACAATCAAGATGTTGTTGACTCTGTTCAAACGAAGTAAAGAAGAGAAGGCAATTTTGAGCGGTGATATAAAACAATTGTTTTACTACTATCGTAATGACGAATCCAACGTTTCCAATAGAATCAACATGATCTCTTCAAATGACGTACTTAACCGGTATGAATCGGGCTCTTTAGCGTTGTTAAAAGCACAGCAAAAGATCCTGCAACAATGTGTTCTGCACATACACGACTCCTTTAGAAACTTGGTGGAACTACCTGATGTCAATTATTCGTTTAAAGCAGATACTGGTGAAGTGATGTCAGATAATGAAAGCGTTCACACTCGGTCATTCAAGGAAACATAGTGTGTCTTGTACAAACATTGCGCTGGATCTATGTAACAGATATGAATTTTAGTCAATTTAGTCGGGAGTCAATTTCTACATAAATGATCTTCCTAACTGTCTGCTAAATACTCAAGCTTCTATGTTTGCTGATGATACAAATCTGTCTACTTCAGGCACTTCACCACGGACATAGAGAGTAAAATTAATGAAGATCTACTTAATGTCAATTCTTGGTTAGTGGCAAATAAGCTGACCTTATTGAAGGCATTCAATTAAGCAAGTAACAAATAAGAAAGTGTTAGGGATTCTTGACGATGAGTTAAAATGGAATGAACACAATGACGAGCAGTGCAAAAAGTTATCCAAATCTATTTGTTTATTAAAAAGATCAAGACGATATGTAAACCAAAATTCACTGATAAATATCTATCTCTAATTCGTTGAACGTCTTACCCCAACTTTACTTATTGTTCAGATGTATATGGAATGATGGTAGTCATACACATCTGAATAAACTTTACAAACTACAAAAGAGGGCTGCTCGTGTTATAATGGGTTCTAGTTATAATATTATGTTAAAGTAGATCTTTGCTCATTTAGAATGGGAACTGATTGAAAACATCCTAAAGAAAAGGGAAATAAGCATGACGTTTAAATCATTAACAAGACAACTACCAGAATATATATCAGACATGTTTACTATTACTAATAACACCACATATCGTCTTAGAAGCAACGATCGAAAACTACACTTAACCAATACTGATTTCATGAAAAAGTCCTTCTCATATAGGGCAGCTTTTGCATGGAACAACTTGCCTTGTGATGTAGTTTCCGATTACGAATCTCTTTCTACTACAAGATTTAAAAATTTAATTAATAACTATTTCAAGAATTTGGAAGATTGCAATTGACAATATCTTCAAGACAATATAAGTCATTTCATGACACTTGTTTGAGTTTTGGAGTGTGGGCCTGTGCATATATCGACTTGCATGATTGTTTTGTTTGTGTATATATTTTTTAGTAATTTTTTAGAATTAATATTTTTGTAAATAGAAACGGCCCCTTGAAAATCAGACTTACTGAAGGGTTACCATTTTAAAATATTTGTAAATAAAAAAAGATTGATAAAGAATGTTGCAATCTGTGTTCTTCAAAATACCCAAGTATTTTGCATTTGATGAACAAGAAGAGCATTCTTGACTTTACACTAACAAAGTTTGAGGAAGAATTAAAGGAACGTACACCACTGTTACAAAGTGTTTTGTTGACTGTTCAGTACTAAAGGTGTGTGAATCCGATCTGATTTTTAGGATTGGATTTTCCCCCCCTGTAATACGTCGAATTACTAGAATATTTTAACAAATTAAGATAGTTCTGTATGGCTGGAAGTGCCTGGAAGACTTTGGAGCAGAGTTTTCCGATTGCTGGCAATAAAATATAAAAAGTGTTTTCGAGTTCTTTTGATGTATATTTCTGACAAAAGAAACATTGGCATTAGGTGGATTCTTCTTAAATAGTTACATATGGGAATTGGGATATGGGAATATTTTGATTCTTTGTCGAGTTTGTTAGGTTTATGTTTCATGAACCACTAACAATGAGGTTTATTAGTGATAAAGTTTCAAAGAGGTTAATCTGATCCAACACACACCTTTATGCAGTACGTAGAAGGTCAAATACGTCTGGCCTTTATTGTATCTCATCTGTTTGATGGCAGCAGCAGTGTGTCTAATGAAAATAGAGACCTTTAGATTGACGTTTACGGCAAACGTCAAACCGCTAGCGAGGTTTCTGATTTTACAACTCTATTATAATAGCTTTTACACCAGTTTTGAAATATGTTAAACTTATTAAACTTGTACTCTTTAGCAATGATTTAAGAAAGCAAATTAACCACTAGTCATGCTATTCACCAAAGCAGTAAACTAAGATTTGGCGTTTGAAGTTGACTTTTGGCGTATAAATTTCATGCTTGAACTGCTACGAGGGCTTGTAGTTGTTAAAGCATGAAATTTATACGCCAAACGTCAACTTCAAACGCCAAATCTTAATTTACTGCTTTGGTGAATAGCATGACTAGTGGTTAATTTGCTTTCTTAATTCATTGCTAAAGAGCACAAGTTTAATAAGTTTAACATATTTCAAATGGGATTCACAACAAGTGAGTCTCACAAAGAGGGACCAAACAAAACCAAATTAAATCGTCCTATCAAGGCCTGTGTTACGCGAAACTGGCAGGTAACAAGTCCAAATACCCGGCTTTTTGATAAAAATAACCCAATGTGCGATTTCGCTTATTAGCTAAGACAAGTGAGCCAAGAAATGCTCATATCACGATCTTTGAATGATCATTTTTTTTTACTAATTCCTCAAACAACTTCAATTATAGTTTAAAAGCACTAGAACGACTCGCGATTATGATAGAAGATATATTTTACACTCCATGAATGGTGAAAACAACATTTTGGCACAAAAACCCCTAAATATCAATAATTCAATGCCTACTCGAATTTTTCTTTACTCAGCCCAAGTTTTATTAAATTTAGATCAATCAGATAGCTTGTGGTTTATGTATTTAAGATTGAATTTTTTTAATTAAGGTAACTAAGACACAATAAGCGGAAAATCGAGTGTAGAATTCACACTGTATATAGTATAAAATATCTTTATTTTATCAACACACTTTGTTTACTATCTACAAATATTTTTCGTTCGATCGAAAGACCTAATATCGTTCTAACATGATGTTTATCATAAATTAGTTCTGTCTGACCAAGCCGCTGACCAGGTTATATTTTTTCCCTTACAAGGCCCCCCCCCCCAGTGCGGTAACGTCTTGGTAAGCGTACCGTACGGCCAGAACGTGTCGTTAAAGATGGTGTTGGTAATACCGTTGGCAAGAGTGGTTCAATTGCATCGGGAGAAACAGGTGTCATGGGATGTGTGGTTGGCTTGAGCGGTGGGTCGTTCCTTTTCTCAAGGAATGCTGGCTTGAGCCTGTTGATAGAGACACCGCACCCATTCGTGTTGAGCGTAAAGAACTTGTCAGTGCGTTGGATGACTAGGAATGGGCCGTCGTAGGGTCGTTGGAACGCACTTTTGACTGCATCGTGCCTAACGTAAACATGTGTAGCTTGTTGTAATGCACGCGGTGTATAAGATGGAGGCAAACCGTAGTTTTGTGGGGGAACAGGACGTTGCTGGTGCATTGTATCCTGAGAAGAAAAATGAGAGATGACCAGAGTTTGGATTCAAACTGCCGGCCACAATCCGACATTATGCTCCTGGGCAGGCCAAACCGTGATTTCCAACCATGTAACAGAGCACGTGCACAGCTTTCCGCTGTCATGTCGACCATCGGAATAGCCTCAATCCACCGAGAGCAGCGATAAATGCATGTGAACAGGTAGGTAAACCCTCGAGACAGCGGAAGTGGGCCGACAATGTCAACCTAAATCTCAGTGAAACCTGGGATATCGAACTTCTGGAGCGGCGCTGTAGTATGACGATGAATTTTAGATTGCTGGCAAGCATTGCAAGTTCGAATCCACCGTCGAACATCACGATTGAGACCGTTCCACACAAACCGAGCGCTTACAGGTGGATCTAGCGCCTGGATGGAAAAATTATGCATCAGGTTGAGTATCTCACGACAAAAAGACTCTAGGACTACTGGTAGAATATTACCCTGAGATGAGTCACAGAGAAGTGTAAGGTTGTCATCGCTATCAAGGAAAACATCCACTAACTTTAAATTTGTTATGCCAGCTTTCAGGCACTGGGTTTCATGATCATCAGCTTGTGCTTGAGCCATTGCCAGAAAGTCAATTTTGGTATAGGAGGTGGCATTGATTTGGATTCTGGAAGACGCGTCTGCCACTGCGTTATTCTTACCCTTGACGTGTCGCAGGTGGGTGGTAAACTCAGAAATAAAAGCCAACTGCCGGATTTGCCGTAGTGAGCATTAGGTTGACTCACTTGAGATTGCAAAAGTCAATGGTTTGTGATCAGTGTACACGTGGAACACACGATCTTCGATAAACCACCGAAAATGACGAATGGCTAAGTAAACGCCTAGCAGCTCTCGGTCAAACGTACTGTAACGTGTTTTTAAAAGCCCGCTGTAGCTTGCGAGAAAAGAAGCCGATGGAGCGCCACTCATGATAGATAAATTGTTCAAGGACGGCTCCCACAGCTAGATCTGAGGCATCAGATGTTATACTGGTTGGTGCATTATAATGCGGATGAACCAACAGTGTTGCACTAGCTAGGGCGGATTTACAGAACTGGAATGCTCCTCGCATTCTGGAGACCAAATAAAATTGGTAGAGGATAATAGTTTGTGCAGAGGATGTAGCCTGTGAAACTTCTTCTTGTCAACAGGTTGAGGAAATTCTGCAACAGCTTGGATGCGGAATGAAAGAGGGGAAATCCCTTGGGCACTGACATGATGACCTACGAATGATAACTGTGAACGGCCAAGCTCACACTTCTTAGGATTAATGACTAAGCCGTAATGCTCCAGTCGCTGAAAAAGCTGGCGCTAATGTTGATCGATGTTGATCGGGTGTGGTGCTGAAAACCAGGATGTCGTCAATGAATACAAACACAAATCCCAGGTCACGGCAGACTTCATCCATGAATTGTTGGAATGTCTGGGCCGCATTGCGCAGTCCATATGGCATACGTTTGAATTCAAGAAGGCAGAATTGTGTAATGACTGCTGTTTTAGAGACATCCTCAGGAGCAACAGGAATTTGGTGGTATGCACGAACCAGGTCAATCTTGGATAAGATTTTACAACCAGCAAGGCGAGCAGAAAAATCCTGAACGTGAGGCACAGGGTCTGGTTTAGTGGCTGCATTGAGAGCTTGATAGTCACCACAGGGGCGCCAGTCACCGTTCGACTTTGGGACCATATGAAGTGGGGATGCCCAGTTATTTGATGATTTGCACACCGTGTGAGAAGACAGCATCTGGTCAAACTCGGTTTTTGCAGCTGCGGATTTTTCAGGAGAAAGGGGTCCAGCCTTCGCAAAAAGTGGGCGGTCCAGCCGCGATAATATGGTGCTGAACATTGTGCTTAACAGCTGGATCGGTGATGCGGAGTTTACAGACTACTGGAAACTCAGCAAAAATGGTATCAAACCCATTGGTGGGTTTAGCTAGCGATATGCGATTGAGAGAAAGGGAACGGAATGGTGAGGTCTGTGCAGGTACAATCATTGATGTTGCTGCTTCTACGAGACAAGAGTTGGCAACATCAACCAACACCCGAATATACCGCAGGAAGCACCTAAAATTGGTTGGTTCACTTCTGCAATGAGAAAAGAACACTTCAGCTGCCGGTGAAGACCAAGGTCCAGGCAAAGTTCACGCTTGCTATAGGTATGAATTGTCGAATTGTTAGCCCGCGGTCAGAGAAACCCCCTTTCTGCAATACCGCTTGTCATGTTGTGTAGCTGGGAAAACACTGACCTTGGCACCTGTATCAATTAGAAACCGAGTTTTTGAATGTTTGTCCGTCACATACAACAGGTGGCTTGAGCAAGCCCAAGTCACGTGCGCCTCTACTGGTGATCGGGCTTGTCGTTTCCCGGCGCGGTATAGGTACAGGGTTGACGACATTTTGAAGCCTGTGTACCAAATGGGGTGTGATACCAACAGAGACCTTCCTTGTCGAACTTGGGATCAGCAGCAAGTTAAGTCAGCCAACGGTTTGTCTGGATATGATAACAAATCAATCTGGACATTCGAAGGCAGGCGCTGTAGGAAAAGCTCACGAAGAAGCTTTTTGCCGGATGTACCATGTAATTATTGAAAGCGTCGGAGCAGTTGCGATGATTTTGGGTCCCCTAACTCTTCAGCCTGTAAGAGTTGTTGGATCTTTCGACGCTTGGAAAGGGACACTCGCTCGGTGAGTGTAGCTTTAAGTACGTCGAACGGATTCGTAGGAGGAGGCGTAAGGATCAGGTCGCGAACCTCAGTGGCAGCTTTGGTCGATGAAGCCGCGACGACATGAGCGAATTTGGTACCTTGTGATATCATATTCTTCACCGAAAATTGCGCTTTGACTTGTGCAAACCAGAGCTCTGGGTCGGAAGGCCAAAATGGCGGAATTTTAACTGCCACCGCGTTCGTAGCTACGACGTTCGTAGCGGCCGTAGGTGGCGGAGTTTTGTTCGAGTTGCTTGATGAAGAAGGAGTCTGTTAGTATTATTGAATATCATTCAGTCGGACCACGGATATTTGAGTTTATGATCTACATTTCGTAACAACAACGTAAACAGTAAAACCATGTGTTAAAAGCAATATATAAAAGATGGCGTGACCTAGATATGACGTCACGTGCAGTTCTAGTTTTTTCGCATACATTAACATACTATTGACAGAGTCGTCATAATGATGAAGTAAATACGGGGTCACCAATGTAGAATTCACACCGTATATAGTATAAAATATCTTTATTTTATCAACACACTTTGTTTACTTTTTACTTCTTTGTTATTATTTAAGTTTATCATAAATTAGTTCTGTCTGACCAAGCCGCTGACCAGGTTATATTTTGTCCCCACACGAGTTATATTAATTGCGAAAGAAACATTAAAATATGTAAATTAACCTACCTGTTTTGGCAGCCATTTTGAAAACCGTGTTATCGGGGCCTGGTAGCTATTAAGACCTAGGCTCCCGTGTTTGTAGGAGTATAAAAATAGCCTATAAAAAAACTAGTTTTTGCCATATTTTGTAAAATAGTGTAAAAAAGTAAAAAGCAAATAAGTATGGTTATATTCAATTCATTTTTAAACATCGTTTTGAACGTTAGTGAAAGCAGACAAGTACTTTACACAATTTTAACAAGGTGAAATCACCCCAAAGACGTTACGGTTAACCATTGGTATTTCGATACATAGTTTCCCGAGAGATATTTTTAAAAGGTTCATGTCAAAGCAATGAGCCACGGGCTTGGAAAAATAAAGGATAATAAATATTTAACTAGTTCCGTTTTCAAACCTTATAATGTATTAATCTTGTCACTTACCAATACATTGCATTTAAAATGTCATGATAAGACATGATAGCCGGGTATCCGAACTTGTTACCTGCTTTTTTCGAACTCTCCATACAATAAATGTTATTAAAATTGCAACGATTTTTGGTCCCTTTTTGAGAGACTCAAAACGACTTATTTGTTGCGAATCCCATGGACTAATAGAGTTGTAAAATCAGAAACCTCGCTAGCGGTTTGACGTTTGCCGTAAACATCAATCTAAAGGTCTCTAATATGTCCCAAATGACAGCAGTACAGCTTTTGAATACCATGTTTATTCAGCATTCAGGTTTGATGGAAAGTTGATATACAAATGATATTGCTCATTTCTTAAGCTAGGGCCTACTACAGAACCTCCCAGTAACCCACAGTCTGGTCTGGTGCCCATGTTTTACTATAACGTAGAATTTTATGACGTTTCTTCAATATGTATGCATGTGTGGGGGAGGAATGGATGTTTTACTGGAATGACCCAATATGAACAAAATAGAATTTAATATTTATTGTTTTAGTCAAACTTTGTGTTTACTCCAGGTTCGTCAGTTGACTGTGCCCCATACCTTCTTGTACAATAAATTAAACAAACGTGGTGAAAAACACAAGGAACAAATTTTGGAAGTGCAAGTTGCACACACAAATGTCATTCATAACCAATTATGTGCAAGAAAAATCCTAGTGTGCAGGGAAAATATTCAGGATTTTTGTCACTCGTCTTGTGAACAACACAAATATCAAACATGTTTGATATTCCTAGTGTGGGGCAAACTCATTGCAAACTCTTTGCAGTAAATAAGTGTGTGTGCGTGATATTCCACAAAACATGGCGGATAGTGAACATATTAGTGAGCTGGTCAATGAAGCAATTTTGGAGGATTTTGTATGATGTTCGGTCATCTGACTTCAAAAGATTTATGAGATAAAGTATTTCAGGAAATGGTGGAAAAACTAGGGCAAACAGGTTAGTAATATATTAAACATTTGCCTGAATGTTATATATTAATATTAATTTTTCCTACCATATTTTGTCAAAATTCCCATGCAGGCCAGGGCACACATTCCAAAATATTTTAAATGGTGTAAAATGTTTGTTTAGAAACTTAATGCCTAAATCAGGGGAGTTTGTTTTGAACTTTCACTTTTGAGTCTCTCAAAAGGCATTTTTGCAGTTCTATGGCAGCAATTATACCATTTGCCATAAATATTTCTGTCTGTGGTATCTATATTTTAGGGGCTTCAGCCGCTTGTTATATAGGTAGAGAGACCAAATTTAGGTTGTCGGTATAAGGGGCCAACGTCCATATTCAAGTTGCCATGCAAAACGTCAAATTGATCTTTGTGTCTAAACCCAGTGGCATAGCTTATAGCGATTTTTTGTAAAATATTCATTTTGCCACAGTAAATTTATAAAAATGTCAGACCATAATTATTTTGACCCACCCATAAAGCGGACTAATTTGGTTGTATCTAGGGGACAGTATACTGGCAAACAGCAATTATATTAGGCCACATAAAAAAAGTAGTTGGTTAGCGTCCTTAGCTTTTGCCAAAAAGTGGGTGGGCGGGCACTTTTTTTAAATTTTACTAATTTTTAACGCCTTGGTTTTACTCACTGTTAGGTCCGAAACTGGATTTTCTTGCGCAGTACTTACATATATTTTTTATACTATTTCAAAATATGATTCATACAGTCATTTTCGCACGCAATTTTGCAATTTATTAACACAATTGACTACAGTCAACAGAAATACTACATATATTAGAGCCTATTGATCAATAAAAGTTGTTTTTTTTAAATTAAAAAAAAAAAAATCCTGAGTGGGGCCTTTTTTGTGGGCGGGCGGGGACGCTAACCAACTGGGGGTTTTTATATGGCCTTATGTTAACATTTTTAGTTTTCTCGATTTCATTGCACGATTGTGTCTTCAGTCATAGATACTCAAATGAAGTTATTACTTAGTAAAAACATCTGTGGTCCATCAAAAATAAAATCATGGCAGACCTTTTTGGTCTTAGTATTCCTGGCGTTCCGTGAAGCATAGTTTCTGGACAACCTCATAACGAAATTGAAGAAAATAATCATAACCCACACAAGGGGTAAATAATGACCATTTACCCCTTCAAATAAAGCTCTGTGTAACTAATAAATGAAGCTATAGATTTGTTTTTATGTATTTTTGACTGCTTGATTTCCAAGTACAGGCAGTTGAAAGAGGGTGATGAGATGGTTTGCTAGACTTCAACCCAGGTTCCCAGAAAGGAAAAAAAATTTTCCACCCCTGAACAACCCACTGAAACCGCCACTGCACAGGTAAAATGTGTGTATCAACAAGATCTGACAAAGCATATTCATTGATTGCACTAAGCGTTGATAAAAATCTACAAGTTCACATTAGTACAACAACAGATCCTTTGGAAGCTTGGGAGACACTTCAAGTTTGTTTCTATCACCCAATATTACGTACATGACAACACTGGCAGAGCAATTGCGAGATATGAGAGAGGAGATTTCAGATCAGAAATTTGCCACAGTAGTTTTAGGAAGCCTTCCTTAATCGTATGAAAATTTTATTTCAAGTTTGAATGCTCAGAGAGTAGAAGATCTTAATTGGGAAAATGTCAAAAGCTTATTGGTTGAAGAGTACCATTAATCGAAAAGAGAAGCAAACAGAGAGTCCTACATACCAAAAAGTTCAAATGGTTGTTACCATAAAACTGGAATAGTTGGAGAGCAATTTACTGTTGAGCATGTTGCCAACTATCAGTGACAAATGGTTTTACTCCGGATGATCGACTAGAAGGATTGCATGTTGAAATAGCAGATTGGCATGCTGAAATGAATTTCCTTGGTGTAGGTTATTAATTTAACATTTAACATTAAGTTACAATCTGCTCATATGTACAGTTTGTTGCCCAGTATGCGGTCAGTTCATATTTAGTCCGCTGTAAATCAGTTGCAATCCAGGTCAACTATCTCAAACTGCCTCAGCAGCATGCAAATTTATTTCATAATAAAATATAGAAGGACTGGAAATTCTGTCCTTCACCTTGTGGAGATATTTAAAATTATTATATGTCCTTTCTCTGCCCAGTATGTAGCCTGCGTAGCAGACGGTTTTTAGGGGAGGTTGCGGGCGGGGAAAATTAGGGCGGGAAAAGTTAGGCGGCAGGGGGAAAAACCGTCTGCCGGGTTTCTATATGATTTTGTTTGCCAGTCTACTGGTGGACTGAAAATACGTTATTGGCTAAAAACCCAACGGCTGTTAATAAGTTTATTATTATATCAACTTAATTAGACAAACATGGCGTCTGCTTTGGAGCACAGTGTCGAGTTTGACTTTCATATGGAGAATGCGCTTCGTATACTAAATTCGTATAGGACTTCTTCATCTAAGCTGGTGTTGAAGACGGAGCAAGAGACAGCCGTAAAGGAACTATTAAAAGGAAATGATGTCTTGGCTGTTTTGCCGACAGGATTCGGTAAAAGTATAATTCTTATCGTGTATTTGTTGGCACGTAGCAGTTTCGTCGAACAGACTAGAGGCTCTTCTCAAAGCAGTGTGCTTGTGGTTTCTCCTCTGAAAAGCATTATATGCGATCAAGTGTTAGAGGTATCTTCCTTCAATTGCTCTGCGATGGAGCTGTCGAAGGAAACTATTCATCAAATTACAACATCTCCGCCGCAATTTATATATTGTATCGCGGAAAATTGTATAGACAAAGATTTTCTTGATATGCTCAAGGATGATGGCTCACAATTACACAAGTCTGTGGAAGCAATAGTTGTGGATGAGTCTCATACAATTGAGACATGGACTGGGAAACGGTAAGACCGGTTTTCTGAAACCGCTTCTTCTAAAAGTTTAGTTATGTAGTATGACATTGACGCCAATCTGGTATTGTATTTCTAAGTATTCATATCGCATATCGGTACATTGGGACGTTTTTCGTCTTTTTTGTGTAGAGACATAAAGGGCAAATTATCGAAGTCGAAGGACAGGAAAGCTTTAGGTCAATGTGCAAAAAAGGCAAGCAATTTATATTATTTTTGTTTCTACAATTTATCTAATATACTCCTAGTCTTAAATGTTAATGTTTATTGACAAGCAAAATAAAGTTTTGTTATTTGTATAAGCATTGTCATGTTAAATTACATTGTCTTTCTTCCTTTATTTTTTCATTCATGTTTTTATTCCAGGTACTCCATTATTAGCTTTAACTGGAACAGCAGATCAAGAAACCCAGACTGTCATTTGTCATAACCTAGCCCTGAAAGACACCACAAAGTTTTCTGTCAGCCCGAATCGTCTCAATTTGCGGTTCAGTGTCATCAAGGTTCCAAAAAAACAAATGCTATCTCAGCTGGATTGGATTGTGGAGAAGATAAAGAATGAAGGTATTGCTACCTCAAAACTTTAATATTTTGTGATACCATGTATTCAGTTGCACATGTTGCCAACTACCTGATGATGAAGCTGGGAAGACAGGCATTTTATCCAACAACTTCTAAAGAAAGAGAACATTGTCTTGTGGGCATATTCCATTCTGTTACCCAAGAGAAGTACAAGGAAAGAATTGTAAAATCGCTCAAAGGTGATGGTTCGAAAAGAATTATTATTGCAACATCAGCATTGAGTATGGGAGTTAACTTCCCTGACATTAGATTCATTGTAATGTTTGGGCCACCACGTGATATTTTAGATCTACACCAAAAAGCTGGACGAGCTGGACGTGATGGTTTATCATCTGACATTTTAATACATTTTTATGGTCAACAAATTTCACATGTTGATGAGGACGTGAGGGAGTTTTTAAAAAATGATGATTGCATGCGTGTTGCTGCTTACAGGATATATGATCAAGATGTTGTTCCTCTACTTCCTGCTCATAGTTGCTGTGGTTTTTGTGCTGCATCTTGTTGTTGTGATGAAGTTGAAGGAAAGTGTGAAAGAGTATCTGGTCCATAGCATTTCAATCTTGCTCCAGATGACATTGAAAATTCTTGTAATTTGTATCGATCTGTGTCTGAAGAAGATAAATGCATCCTTCATGATGCTTTAAAAGAGCAGCAAATGAATATTTCATCTTCCAATGCAGTCATTGCTCTTGGATCAGTGTCAAGTCATGGTTTTTCTGAACAAGTCATCACAGATGTTGTTGAGAATTGTAACAAGATATTTTCTGTGGAAGATGTCATAACTTATTCACCTATTTTTTCAAGAAACCAAGCTATGGAAGTGCTTTCTATTTTTAGTGAAGTGTTCAATGATATTGAAGAGGTGCACTTGATATCTAACAATTCATTGGAAGATGATAGCTATCCACCGTTTTCTTTAGACCAGTTGCTAAACAGTGAATTTACAGATACTGATGTTGATGGAGAACTGTTTGACTTGGATGTGATAGACTAAGATGATGTACTAGAAACAATGTACATTTATGATTTTCTGTGGATATGCAGTATATATATACTGGTACATCACTTGGGAAAGTTTTCCCTTGGAACCTGCTGCTATTGGGAATAAAATTGATGGACAAACAAACCTAATAACTTCTCAAAAACTCTGTACAATCTAGAAGTGGTTCATGAAGGTATATATTCTCTGAATGCATGCTTCCTGTAACCTTGGGAGCCATATTGTTTCTTTTTATTGAAATGACATGCATACCAGACACGGATTTTCTGGGGGGGGGGAGAAATGATTTGCAACCCCCCCCCCAAAGGCATTTGGCACCCCCACAAATTACATATAGTTTGATTTGATAGTTTCGTATTTGATTATTCTTACTACTAAATTTGTGAAATTGCCAATATTATGGTCTCAGATCTCACCATGCAGGCCTAGAAAACAAATTTTGTCAAACCTTTTCCTTGGCCTTTTAGGGCGTTGCTACCACGCCCTGGCCAAAGCAAGCAGCAGCAGCACCCCCCAGATATTTATCCATGCCCCATCCTTCCCCCCCCCCTGAACGAAAATATGAAAATCCGTCTCTGATGCATACAGGCTGTGCATAATGCCTTGTTTGCAATCAGGTCCTGGAAATGAGTCACATCAAAATAAAGCTTATCAAGTAAATACAGTCTTTAAAACTGTTAAATGTGGTTTTAGTAGGGTAATTCTGTTTCTGTTTTAATACTATTTATACAATATGGCTTCTGACCACCCAGCCTGTTTTGATGCTCTCATTTTCACATCGAAATCGCAATCAAAGCATTATGTACAAAACCGAATATAAACATTTGTAATCTACATTTGCTGAAATGAATTTGACTAAAAAATGTAGAAAATATAATTGAGTCTATGCATGTGTTATAGACAACAGAAGTACCTTATCAGAATATTACTAAAAAGACACCTTGGCCAATTAAAAAACCCCTGTTTTTTCATTTTCCTGATCAACATTTACAACCCTAATTCTCTAATTTTTTTGCATATATATCACTATTTACAATAATTAAAGAATTTACAGATGTGAATTAGGTCTTATTTAGATCATACAGAGGTTCCCAGGTTTTAATAAGTTCCAGCATCCATAAGCGTAAATCTTTGAAATTCAAACTTCCCAGCAGACTATGTGGAAATTTAGGAAACGATGGATGTCCTTGTCTGCCTTCTTGATATGTGAATGCCCCAATTGTAAGCAAATCTTTTGTTATTTGTTGTACAGCAGCAAATTGGTTGCCTTGTGTTCTGTAACCAACAGCTGATTGAATTCCACAGTCATTGTCTACACTGTTCAAAATTCGTTCCATTTCATCAACTGTATTTGCAAGTCGGGCAGCTGATGTTTCATTGAGATTTGCCTCTAGTGATCTCCACATAGTTTTCACTATCTTGTTTAGCTGTTCCATTCTAAGATCAAGAGGAATATTTCCTGCTTTCGTACCATGCTTATTAAAAAATCTGTTCCATTTTAAGCTGTGTGCTTCTTTCTTAGATAGGATAGCAACAATCTTCACAAGGTATAAGAAGACAGCATATGCATATTTGCTTTTCTTGTTAGCCTTGAATAATAACAAACACACCTTATAGATCTCAAAAAGTCTCTCCCCATCACCTTCTTTAATTGCATCATGATAGTCAAACAAGATAAGCCCAAATGTAAGCTTAGACCTATGGTAGTTGTATGTATGATCTTCACATCCTTCTTGATTAGTCATTTGATGTGGTTTCAGGACTTGATCATCTGTGTAGGTCTGGCCATGGTTATTAGTTTCATGCCTATAACACAGATTATGTAATATATTATATATGTTATCAATTTTTAAAATATTGTACATAATAATGTACTTTAAATGGGCCCTACAGTCATTTTTTAGTTGAAAAGCCACCTTAAGTAGGGGACTCCACAGAGATTCGTTTGGTTGTATCTTACATGCAGTATCCATGAGTATGAGTACTTCCGCACAATGGAAAACGCATACATGCTGTATTGCGCATGTCAAGTTGCAACAATAACAAAAAAAATGTAAACAATTACTTCAGGTGGCTTTTCGACTAAAAAATGACTGTAGGGCCCCTTTAAACAAATAACCTCAGTGGTCTGACTTATATGTGAATGTTATAAATTATTAACAACACCTGTTCCTTGTTGTTTTGCTCGAGAATACAAAACCACATGAGGATCTACAATGGTAAAAACCAAAGTCATCTCTTTCACCATCACTTGCTTCATATTTTGAGAAAATGACATTATGACATGTAACCTCATGTCTGTAACAAAAAAATATGGCAAAAATGATTAGAAATAGCAAATTTTGTGTGGTGATGAGGTCAATTAGGTCACAGAAAGTATATAATTTATAGTAGAAAATATATAGTTTTCATTTCCGAATATCTTACTTATGTACTCATTAGTGAGTAACGACTTAAGGTACTATAGCATTTTGTGGCACTGGAAAAGTATGAAAGCAAGGCACACTAGTAACAGAGTAAATTAACACTGAAAAAAAATGAGAAAGGGATATAGGAACAACAGTGTTCCTTAATTTATAAGATATAGTTGGGAACTTTGATTCTTCGACATACATACACTTACTTTACTCTTATTGAGTGGAAAACATATTTCTGATTACACCCTTCCACGCGGCACATGTACTGTTGGGTCGTGTTTCTCTGTCCAAGCTGTTCCACCTGCTGCACCAGAGTGTCAACATCTTTGCTTTCAGTTACATACTCTTCAATAAATTTTGTGCAAATTCAACAAACCATTTTCGTTGATCCTCTCTAGGTGAATCTCTATCAGGTATATCGTATTTAGGTTCATCTTTATTAAAATAAGATAGCATATAATAAATATACATATATATATATATATATATATATATATATATATATATATATATATATATATATATATATATATATATATATATATATATACTTATGGGTTATACAACTGTACTGTACCCAAGTATATCATCCTTACCATCCATATTTGACTTCTCAGACATTTTCATGAATGATGCACATATATGTGCCTCCACTTCACATCGATGGAAATCTTTATACTCATTGTAATGATTTTCAACACCTTTACTTGCATTTGTCTTGTTCGATCTGTTCATGCTAGCTCGGGAAGTGCCAATCTCAGATACTGAAGAGTGATTAGTGAATGTGTCAAACTCAACCTAAATAAGGATAATTTGCATTGCTAATAAGCCACACAATTTTACCTATCGATTATGGTTCAATCTCTGAAAAAACTCTACACTAAGTAGGTTAACCAGTCAACTATATATAACCATCCATTTGTGTTACTAGATAATACACCAATGTTGTAAAGAGTACGGTAAGCACTTGGCACTAATGGCAATTACATTTGGTCATGAAGATAAATGCACAGCCATGGTGGTACATAGTTAAAGGCTTTTTCAGATAAACTTTAAATACCATAATCCTACCTCTCAGGCTCTCACTAAACATAAACAAATATAGTAGCTTTGTATTTATGACAACTAACCATGAACAAGTTAAGTTTTGCATGCCAATCTGCAAACTCGGTAGAAATTCCATCAATTCGATCCCAGGCATTATCACCATCCTGATAGGTCCATTTTGTATTCCTTGCCCTCTCTTCAAATAGTTGGTCCCCATGCAGTGGCACAGTTTCTAAAATGATCTTTTCATCAGAAATAGTGCAGTTTGGAATGTATTTCTTTTGATTTACTTGGAGCAGCTGTGCAATCTCACTTGCCACATTGGAGTTGGAGAAACTGATACCAAGACTGCACTATAAATATATACAAAAAAAAACCCACAATACAATCATTGATTTAGAATATTTTTCAATAATTGAGTGCTTTCTCGATATATCAACAACTTAAATACGGATATAGTAAATAAACTGAATAAAGACCCCCATCCTAACCCAAACCTATTTTGGTTGCTTATATATTGAGAATGTACCAATAATTGTTTTATTTCACCATTCACAGACAGATGAATATTCGCTTACTAGGTCAGATTTAGATGCCATTTCTTTTGAGTATGCATGATTGATATGGTACACAGCAACACTGTTTAAGTGTTTGAACTTTGCCAAGTATTTGCAAATAACCCTCCCCACCAACGATGCCCATCTCATCTTTAGGTTTTGCTGGACTTTTTTATCAGGCAGCAACTGGATTAAGTCGATGTCTTTTAAGGGTATCTGTGGACTTTTCGTGTCAAATGATGGCTTGTTTATGCGATTTCGGATTGCATACTGTTGGGTCCAATGGATTGAACGGTTTGTGTGTGTCTGACTTTGAATCTTTGCTTGAATATTAATGTCAATGTTGTCACCGACTAATCTACACAAAAAAATTAAAACAAAAATTCTATTATAATGACATTTCCAAAACGCATAGGCTTTCTTTTTGACTCATAGGCATTAGGCCCATATTGTTTTTGCTACTCCCGCATAGAGTCCACAGATGAACAACCATAAAAGTGATAAAACATTTCGAAATGTGTTGAAAATTGTGCCCTTTTTTTAGAAATCGTATGTTATGTTTACAAATAACATAACATAAATAAACATTAATAGATTCTTTGTATGCTTCGGAGTACGATTTAAAAATAGAAATATAACGCTTTGCAATAAACTAATTTATATACATGTCACAAAAACAAATATTATAAAAGGAACATTTTTCGCTTTTCGCTCGCGTATAATTGATAGAGTACACAATTAGTGTACATTTATATTATAATTCATTTGTTTTCTAAACACAAGTCGAAATAAAAGTGACAATTACTTACTTGTACAATGGAAGCTTTTTGCATGACAAAAAGTTTATTGCTTCTACCAAATGGTCATCGTTGATAGTGCAATCGCTGTTAGCAACTGCTTTTAGCACTTCCTTGCAATGATTATAAGTGTCAGTAGCAAATGTTGTATAATCGGATACTGTTTCCTTAGAAAAACATACTGTAGATTCAACTTCCATATCATCCTCGTTTGGCACACGGACTTGTTTTTCCTTTGTTTCTCCCAGAAGTAGCATGGCTTTTCGGTTGTTTTCGATCTCTTTCTTCCAAACAAGAACCTTTCTTTCGCAGCTTTCGCCCATTTTCCTTTCCATCTCGATAATCATTTCAGGAGACATGCAAACAGAAAGTTTATTCAAACGCCGAATGTCATTGTATTTAGTACCGCTATGAATTAGAAGAGAAGAAATGCGATATGCCACTGCTGACATCTTTTGATTTCGACATCGGGCTGCGACGGCGGAGGCCAAAGCAATCGCGTTGATTTCTTTTACTTTCATTTCAGAGTTTATAGCATTGCATGTGCCCGACACACAAGCCATCCAAAGTGGACACGATTGTCGCACCTCATTAACTAAAAACTTGTTCGAAAATTATTCCAAGTCCTCAGGACTATTCTGTTTCATCATTGATTCCGAACTATTGCTGCAATACATCTTAAATTCAGCGGCAACTGCTTTTCTCAGTGGCTCAAACAATTCCTTTCGCAAACATGGATGTTTGTAAAATACGTTCGCAACAGTTTTCCATTTTTTATTCACGACGTTTACTATTAACGATTTCGTTATGTCATCAAATTCATGGCTTTTCTGCACCCGACCATTGGGACTAGCAATGACAACTTTTACTTGGGTGGTCGTTTTTTGGTGAACAAGCTGTTCGATGTTCATTGCCGCTAGAAAATTATCGGCAGCGCCATCATATTTTTCATTATTTTCGTCGGCATCACCTTCGGTTGTTTTTGATTCTGAATCCCTAATATTGTCGTTTGAAAACAATGATTTTTTGGCGCATCTCCTTCTTTCGATTGAAGGTTTCGGTTGTTTTTTTGCTTGCGGACTGCGTTCAGGGCTATCTACTGTTGTCGGTAATAGTCGTTTCTCTCTGCTAGGGTTTTCATCGTCAAAATTAGGCACGTTGACCAAAGAAATTATCCACGCAAACAGGCCGTTTGCATTGCGTATTTTCCGACCACAAGATTTGCAAACCCGTTCAGATAACTCTGCTTTCCTTTCAACGAATATATTTAACTCCGTCAGCAGTTCACACAAAGTCTTCTCACTACAATCTTTCCTATATGGTGGCTTGAAAAGCTGTTCAGAAGATACGTATGAGGTTTTCTCAAAATTTCCGAATTTCAATTTCAAAGGACATTTACACAACCTGCAAAAATCATTCACAGACAAAGGTTTTTGCCTTCTTCCTTTGTTGACGGTCTTCTTTGGAGTATCTCGCTCACTCATACTCCACACATCTCATTTTTTAAGCCTACGGCACTTTGTTTACAATTCACGTATCTGTCTGGCTTCGCTAGTATTTGCAACTTTTGCAACATATCAATTTCATAGCGTAATGTAAATATTGCAAAAGTTGAACTCTGATTGGCTGTTGGAATAAACTTTTAATATGGGCGTGAAAGGGGCGGCAAACGAAATCATATAGAAACCCGGCAGACGGTTTTTCCCCCTGCCGCCGAAAGTTATTCCCGCCCTAATTTTCCCCGCCCGCAACCTCCCCTAAAAACCGTCTGCTACGCAGGCTATCTAGATCCTAGAGTAGCACAATTAATATAAAGTCTCCGTAAGGCGGTAATATTAAAGACTGTTCTTATTTATGCATGACCTTTGACTATTAAGTGGCCAAAAATTGTGCCTACAGTAATCAACTTATTCCACTATCCAGGTTGCATCACTTTTGATTGCAAAACACCCAGGTTTATTATACATGGATTTGCTAGCAAAATAGCAGCAATTGATGAACTTGGTGTTATACTAAGATTTACTAAATGTGTAAAGAAACAACGAAAAGTATATATCAATCAGAGTCATTATCTTGATCTATTTCCGATGGGATCTCCAAAGAAAGTAGCTACATGTACTGCGGACAACATGAAACTTCAGACTGCAGAAAATTTCACAATCTGTTATCAAACTTACGTCACAGAAGTGGTAAAGGACATATGTGACAACTGAACGGTACCTTTTGTAATTTTTTTGGCCAGGGGTGGGTATTTATTTTTTAATTGATATTTGAGGTTGGGTAATCAATTTTTTTTACTTTTAATGGTTGGGTCAGCAAAATTTTTGCTACGAAAAACATTTCTCTTCGGTGCCACCCCCCACCATAAATAATGACCGGTCCCTAATAGCATTTCTTTCTACACACGGTAAATCCATCGAAGCGAGAATAATCTAGCCTGCGTAGCGGCTCTCAGAGAAACTAGAGCCTGCACGAAACCCCATGCTTTGCCATTTCCGCCCACTTAGCCTGCGGGCTACGTTCACTTTAAACAGATGTCAAAATTGGCCAATCACACAGATTGTTTACGTTTGCAAATTTACTTGTCAAAATGAAATATAAATATAGATTGCTGTATGTTCACAAATTTCAAAACGAAATAATATACGGATGTCGGCTAAAGAAAATTGAAGTCTGTGGGGTGGGAATAGCGCTAGGCCTAGGGCAATCTCCATCGTCACAAGTAGTATGCAGTCCGTATCTACGATATTTCGTAACTTTCTCGCACACGTACAAATATAATTTATAGTTTCGACAGCGGTCAACCGTGATATATTAAATGTTAAAGTTTCGAGCGATGCAGAGAAGAGAATATTAAAGGTGTCTAAAGCCATCACTTCAGAGAAAGCAAGTCCTGTTCATAAGACATAAGCATTTACAGCAATTTTCTCCTGGCACAAAATTATTAGCTACAAAATCATGAAGAAAAAACCTATTTGTCGTCGATGAATTGATGAAAACGAACACGCTTGTGAAGAGCTAGGCGCTGCTAACAGATAGCAATCCAACGAGGACACCAACCTCGTACCCAGAGCCTTTGCGCGGTTCAAAGGCTCTGGTACGGGAAGCAAAGGCCCTGGTAAACACTGGTCATGTGACTCCAAAAATATTGGACATTACGTAATAATTTAGTTTTCAATCCGGGGGAACTGATTTTATCAAACATGGCAGCGCGAAGGCGAGACGTTTTCGAGTTTTTATATTATTATGATAAATAAAACTTTCTTAGTGAGATTTAAGAGTGGGTATATATTATCTATGCATTCTACGAGCTTTCTTTCAACAAACTGTGGAATAGCTAACGGTAATACTTATCAAAGATCGAAGGACGAAGATCAAACTGAGAGAAAATAGTAGAGTGATCTGTCTTTAAACTGTCTATAATTTTTGTATCCAATGCAGCTGCTTGTGTGCGACGTTTTATAAAGAATTAAATAAACATTGTTGATTATAAGTAATTTTTATGTATTGACCAAAGAATATCACTTTGGTTTTATTGTACTTTTGTGGAAGGATAAATCAGAGGGGACATCTATGGAAACGAAATTCTTCATGTGTATTAAACATGTAGTTATCAACAGGGCTGCATAAAATATTTTATTTTCTGGGACCACAAAGCCAATGAAAATATTTTCTGCATGCAAACACTGGGAATCTTATGTTTAAATTTGATCACTAAACAACATTCAGTGTATTCTATGCACCATTTCATTAGATTTGGAACCAAAATAGACGTATTTACCCTGCTACAATCATAGAACAATTACTTTGGGACAAGTTGAAAGCATTTATTATTTGAAAATAAAGTACAATATTTTGGGCTTACATTGTGCTTCCCTCCCCCTCCCCCATGCAACGTTGTGTTCAAGAACATATGATAATCACGAGTATTACACAACATTTGGCGATAGGAAATAGCCGCGGAACCAACATTGTAAGGTGGGGGGAGGGCTGAGTAACGTTTATGTATGAATGTACGATCTACTGTAATAGTTTAAAAACAGCCTGTAATAGTTTTCTCTTTATAGATATCACAATGCTGTTTGAGTGATACTTTTATAGTGATGATTGTAGCAGTGGTTTCTAACTGAGCTGAGGAGAAACCACTGCGAGCAAACGAACGATCGTTTCATGTAGCCACCGTCCAGATTCACGGACGAATGCATTAAATGAGAAACCAGTAAAACAAGTTTGACAAGTTTTTGTTGTGCGCATGGGTAATTGCTTGGTACTGCTGGTAAAATGCGAGCCAAATTGGAATTTATCAAAAACCTTAACACAATCTCCAACGTTTGAGTAACACAAATAAAGTTTGCAGACCGAATTAAAAAAATTAAAAAACAGAAATTCAAATGCACAATTTGTAGCCGTAAGGTGAGGCACCGATTTCAAAATATTTTCGTGCTGACAATAACGATATTAAAACCGATACATAAATTGTGAACTGCATGTAGAATAAACAGTCGTTCGATTAAAACTGACAGACAATAGATAAAACAGCACTATGCCACGCTTATTTACGTACAGATAACAAACTGTCAAACTACAGGAAATGAAGTCAAATTAGTGACGTACGTCCCACCACATGATCTTCGCCACATGATCAACGAAAGTTGTTCGTTTGCTCGCAGTAGTTTCTCCTCAGCTCCGAAACCACTGCCAGCAGGTAGATGTATTTCAACGTGGCTAGGGAATAAATATTCCTTATATTTTAATTTAACAACAAACATTTACATTTTAATGAATGTGACCCACTGGGAACTGTCTGCTGTTTAAGATTCTAGATTCTTATAATTTTAATATATTTGTTATGAATATCATCTTAATTAATGGATGAAAGTTCATGAGAAGGGCAGAAGGTTGTTGTGTATTGGAACATATTGCTTAGCCTTTTACTACATTGTAAGAAATCACCACACTTGTAGACTTTTTAATCCACATACTGTAGTTGTTAAATGCGTTTTATTCATATATAACTGGAGTGGTATTTTCAGAAGTAGCTAATACACTAGATGAAATAGATTATAACAACCGCATAGAGGATTTCGTCTTAATATCTGCTAGATGGCTGTCTGCCTGTCTTTGACCATAATATCAGGCTGCTGGAGTGCCGCTCTTCCCGGTATATTGGGAACTTGTATTACTTGCATGTTGCAAACATCACTAGTTCACTACCTACAGCTTATTACTCAATTATGTCATTTTTTCTCATTTTCTTCCTTTCTCTTTTTCCTTTTTTTCTTCCTTTCTTTTTACTTTTTTTTCTTTTGAGACTTTTAAGTTTTACCCTCCATTTTTTTCTGCCAACCTCAAAAATTTTCTGGGACCAATGGTCCTGCGGTCCGCTATATTATGCAGCCCTGGTTATCAAAGCAGAATATTTTGAAACAATTAACTGGTCGAGTGACAGGTTGGTTTCCGTATGTATGTAGTTTAAAATACAGTTGTGAATGAAATTATACACAGTATCTTGAAACCTTTAAATAACAGTCTGTATACTGGTTGTATCTTGGAACCTGTAAATAACAGTCTGTATACTGGGTGTGCGTTCGCCTATTTGTTTACATTTGCAGTTACTATACATTGGTTCATGATTTATGAAATTTGAACCAAAGCTGTAACATAATATTAGTCACGGCACAAGTCACTAATAATTTTAGGGTAAATATTTTTCTGAAATACTTCATTTGTCAGTTGCATCTTATAGTATATACTGTAATAATATCTCGAAAAAAAGCTGTAATTGTACCCTGACTAATAGCTTTGGTTCAATACAATTGGCAACTGGGCTGTCTTAGAATTCATGAAAGACCTTTGCTACAACCCCAAGAAAACATGCCTTTTATCAGAAGATCAATTAAATTCTCTGCTTCAACCAGATTAACCACACACATGTTATTGTCACCATTGTGACTACCGACACTTTTTACAAATAATACACCAATAGTTGAGCACCGAGACTCTGACTGACATATCATACTTTGTTTTCAAACATGTTTGGCTTTGGTTAAAAACCAACAATTATACATTCTTAAACATTTTAAATACTTCAGCCTACATAATTTCCAGAATGATGGTCAATTATTCCACTTACTGAGAATACTATAATTACTTCTTTACCATAAAAATTCTTTTGGGTTTAATTGAAGTATTATTATTCACAGCTGGTCTAAAAAATTGGGTGTTTTGATGCATCATACTTTTGTCAGTAAAATTAAAAACCTATTTAGTCCTATCTGGCTATGCAGAGTTTTATTTGTATTGAGCTTAGAGAGACACAGAGGCTTAATATGGTTACACTGAATTTTATCAGTAAGTAAATTTCCTTTTTTACATCCTGAAACCAAAAATCACCATATTATGCATGAATTACATATCACTTTCACTTGTCACAGAGTGAACATACCAAATTCAGACACCATTCACACTGTTTCTAGATGAAATAATCAACCTATTTTTTGGGCAAACAATATAATTCATGAGGGGGGGAAATAAATATTTATATGTGTGCACATAGTTTCAAGATCAGCTAACGGGATTGAAACCAGCTTTCCCAGTTATGCTTGGAGCTGATGAGAACAGTTAGTTTTGAACACAAAATGTCATGGGACTTAATTCATCTAGGTGGCAATATATTGCCTTCTCACCAGCACAATTGATCAAGTCATACACATCCATTACTGCCAATCTCTTTATTATTTATGTTTCATTACAAATACAATATATTTTCATTATCAGCAGTATCATTACAACTTGTGCATCACCAATATCATCACAACTTGTATTTCACTACCATCATCATTATTCTCATCATTCTAATTTTATTAATTAGTCAATCAGAATGAATAAAAAATTTCCTATTTTACACCACTCATATATTACTTAATTGCCCAAGGTCAGGGCCATTTCACATCACTCCAGGATCTGAATACCCTGCAATCACCTTTTCGATATAATACTAAAAGAGAAACAAACGACAAATGTCTTACTGGCACACTGGAATATCATAATATAATTGCCATAAAATAACTGTCATTTGAAACCACATTCTGCTGTAACAGCACAACTACTCAAGGTTGCAAGGTAAATAATAGGGATGTAGTAAGGCCAGTATTGCTGGTAATTGTCTTTTTACATTTTGCTCACAACCAAAGTCCAATTATATGGAGCAAAAGTTAGAATATCCAGCCACTTTTTATTACTCACTTAATCTTACACTTGACAAGTAAAATTGTCTGGTGTTGGACAGAGAAAAATAACAAAGTATGCCATATTTGATTATCCCATGCATATTCCCATTACTATAGTGTGACCACACAAGACTCTCCCTAATTGGATGGGTAAAATTGGGGGCTATGGAGATTTAATGGCAAGAAGTGGGGGAAACATTTTTTCCAGTAAAATTTATGAGGGCCTTTGGAATTTTACGGGGGCCATTGGAATCATCAACCAGAGTATTAAGGCGATAAAGAAAAGAATACCTGACTGTAAAATTAATGTAATCTAACTTTCTTGTCACGCAAAGTTAGGTAACGTTGGCATTTTCACACTTTTCTATTATTATCGTACTCTTCTGTTAAGTATTTATTGGATGAGTCAGAGACCAATGGATTGGTATGAGGGCAGTTAATTTGTAATTTTTGCATGTATTCATTTATTAACTTTTGACTACTGTAATGGTCAGCCAGTTAATTAAGTATTTTACTGAGGGTACTGCCTAACTATTTTACATGTCAAAGAGAACTCCAGTTATGAAAGATTGAATATTTTCTGAGCAAGCTGGAACAGAAAATTTTGATTTTAGTGAACTAACTCAACTAAGTGAAGGATGGAGATAACCAAAAAATATATCAGGCATGAAGGAGGGCTTATATCCAAAAGCGAAAGATGGAGGAGTAATTAAACGAAGAAAACTAATTATACAAACAGACAGCCACGAATCTGCTGGAATTTAGGATATATAAACTGATACATATTAAAAGATATGAGAATATAATTTTATATATGCATCATAAAATCGTTTACCTCGAATATACTGCATTGCCATTCTTTATAGCATAATTCAAAATCCATGTGACTTCAAAGTTTATAATTTCCATCAAAATAAAAACAAGCCTAAAATCTGCTGTCTGTTGTTTTAAAATATGAATTTTCAAACAATTGTTATACATTCATGTTTTAAAAATCAAAGGCAAAATCATTTGTATTTGAAACTTTTATAGTTCGTGCATTGCAATGTTCAGTTGTTCATCCCCCCGGGATAACATGACCTAATTAAGGCCAGGTTACAAAAATGTCCAATATTTTTGGAGTTTTTTGGAGTCACATGATCAGTGTTTGACAGGGCCTTTGCTTCCCGTACCAGAGCCTCTAAACCGCGCAAAGGCCCTGGGTACGAGGTTGCAAGGACACCACAGTCAATATCTCTAGAGCTTCGTGAACCAAGTTCGTAAATACCTCTATATTGTTCAACCGTAAATCTTGGCTTTTAAGGTCTTTTGAATGCAAAACTCAAAGAAACGCCTCTCAATAATACATCCGCCGCGTTTGTATGAATTTTAGCATAAATTGGCATATTTTTTCAATTTGAACCAATCAGATTTCTCGTCCTCTGAGAGAACGAGTAAATACGGCAAAGCAGGGGGTTTCATGCAGGCTGTCCTTTCTCCGATAGCCGCTATGCAGGCTAAGAATAACCTCTTGTATTCGTAAATATGCTGATACGATGATGTTGTTGGTCGCTTAAAGAAATTCTCTCTCCGATATACCAGTATTTCTTCACAGCAAGAAAAAAATACCAGCAGACTGGCCCGGCTATTTACAACCGGGAAAACGAACTATACTATAATACTCCTGATAATACTGGAAGACGTGCTCCAAAACAAGTGTAAAAAAAAGTGTCGCCAAAACATGGCGGATTTTCGCGCCATATACTGATATGACGCCATTTCCATGACAACTGGTTCCTCCAGCTCATGAAATTACCACTGACCAGGCTCAATTCTGAGCCCGCTGCAATTTTCACGCCCCCCCCCCCTGGATTTATCAAAAATATTTTTGCTTTTCGAAGTTTTTGCAGTAAATTCTCGTTGTTTTTTTATATTTTTTCGACTTTTGACCATTGGTTCAAAGATTTAAGAGTCGTGCACGCTATTCTCGTCCACGAAAGACAACAAACCAATATGAAAACCCCGAGAAAGTTAGGCAAAGGCGATATTTGATACCAGGGCAGAGCTATCAGGTAAATATTTCACATACTATTTAACATTGCAATAAGAACGGAATATTACGTTTTCTGTTCTGGAAACAAGGATTGGTCGAATCCAGATTTAATGAACTTCTAGTTAATCTCTTACGTTTTGTATCATATAATAATGTCTATGTGTTATGTAAATGTAATAATGTGCAGAGAATGTGCAGAAAATGCAGAAAATCGCGCACTTTACAAGGAGATGTTCTTAAAGGACAATGGCACCGAAAAATTTTATTGGCTATTTCAATCCTACTTGACGACCTAACTATGAAAATATTATCATTTCGTTCTCAAACATTTTAGTCTACGAGTAAAATGCATGCAAACTTTGTGTTTCGCCGCCATCTTGGAAATATTTTTTGAAAAATTATCTCGAAGGTCAATGAACTTTGTGACGTCATTGGATGGGTAGCGCAAACTACAAGAGAGAATTATATTGCGTGCGTGTTAGGGACCGGTCATTATTTCTGGAAGGGGGGAGGAGAGGGGAATTTTTTCTTTCCTAAATTTTTAAAATTGAAAGCCCCTCCTTAAAAGAGCAGAAATTTAATGATGACCCCCTACATATTAGAATATTTTTCTTTGCCCCCCCCCCCAAAAAAAATATTCATTTTTACTCGACAAATGGGGATACCCAGGCGTTATAATGTTAATTATTAATTAAATAAGAATATGGAGCTGACAAGATATTAACGTCGACCAAAAATATATATTAGCAGAAAATTATAATTAAAAGAGGGGTATTTTCATATATAACTCTAAAATCAGGTTTCCATTTGGTCTGGGCGATTGTAACCATGTTTACATACTCGACAAATGGGGATACCCAGGCGTTATAATGTTAATTATTAATTAAATAAGAATATGGAGCTGACAAGATATTAACGTCGACCAAAAATATATATTAGCAGAAAATTATAATTAAAAGAGGGGTATTTTCATATATACCTCTAAAATCAGGTTTCCATTTGGTCCGGGCGATTGTAACCATGTTTAACGGCAGAGAATTAATATTAGTGTTTGGAGCCAGGTGCCGTTTGTGGTCCAAGGCTGTAACTAGATTTGATGGCACGAAGTATTGCCATAGCAGCTGCGTAGCAATGAGAGTAACAATCAGTAATATTAGCAGCAAAAGGAGATAGCCATGACAATTCTGGACATTCTGCCAAGGCATACCTCCGGCACCAGTCACACTGACAAGTCAGTGGAAACAAAATATAATGTATAGTGGTCTATACATCCTATTTTATGTGAGATTAAAAATTATATAAAATAAAATGACCTACTACCAGATAAAATCCTCTAGAATAAACATGGGTGGGTGGGGTGGGTAGGGGAAAGGTATCTAAGCGCTAAACTTGCTGCAGCTAGGCAACGCATACAATGGCAGTATGAATACCCAGACCGACGCACTGATCACAAGGCGCGAAACAACCCCCTTTAATCGATATGACGTCACAGACTCCCATCAGTGGATGTGGCCTGCATAATACATCCACTGTTAACCTTGCTTAAATGTATTTAACCACATCAAGATAGCTGATGTAATAATACATTGTCAATTTATCTCTGCAATCAGTAAAGACTGATTTGCATACAGCACACAGAAGACAAGATAAATCCAGACTATTTCACATCAGTGACCATGATTTAGTCGCAATTACAACCAAATGGATACCATGCTTATTAAGCAAATTCCTTCAAATTTAATTGCACCCCCCTCCTCATTTTCTTGAAAAATTTAATAGCCCCCCCCCCTTCTAGTCATTTATTTATACATATGGCCCCCCTCATTTTTCCCCTCCCCCCCCCACCTTCCATAAATAATGACCGGTCCCTAATATTAGTATTAAGTAATTGATGTTATTATCTATGCAAACTTTATTGTCGTTCCTGATTGGTCAACATTCTCAATGCCCGTTAGCTGTCACGTTATTTCACTCTGAGGTGTCAGAGTAATAATACTTACTCTGAGGTCTCAGAGTAATAATACTTTTTTGGATCGAACTTCGGTCCAAAAAAAGTATTATTGCACATTGTATAGTCCAAGCCCCTAGCGCAGTCGGCAGCTTGTAATAGTAGTCCCCCCTCGCCCGTTTAGATGAAGAAATTTATTAAGCCCTCTCTCTGTTAACCCCGCTCCCCCTATGAACCACCACCACACATTCGTCCAAAAACTCGTATCTTTTTATTAGAGTTTTTGCGTTTATTGATTCTCTCTATTAATCCCCCCCTCAAAAGTGCATAGGGGGGGGGTCTTAGTAGAGAGATTACGGTGAAAGAAGACTATAACCTGTATTTTGCAGTATTTGTAGAGTTAAATTGGAAACAGTCTTCTCACATGCATGCGACTGTGGCGACATTTAATCATAATATGTTTTTCCCCTCTTGATGTTTTGGCATGTCGTTTGATTGAGCGAGGTTAGACGTTTTTCGTAGATGGAAATTTAAATTAGACCTAATTAAACCGCGTGAGCAATTGCACAAAATGCAACTTTTGATCCTGCGGCTAGGGGCCCTACGATTTCGGCCCAGCCCACATTAATTAGATCATGTTTAAGTAACATACTGTAGTTAAGTCTTGCATTGGAACATGGTTCGATATCATTCATGACAGAACGATAGAAAACAGATAATTAACTGTTTTAAACACTTACATTTTCTCTTCCTTTAGACTCCTGGTAAACGTTTCAGTAAAATCCCTGTGGCTCAAACTCCACCGAACAAAGATAGACCCCCGGGAAAATCGCCTGAGAAATCAGCTCTTACTCCTGAACAAGTAGGACAGTTAGCACGTTTGATTCAAATGTATCAAAAAGACAACATGGACAATGACGTACCATCACCTCAGAAGATGTTTCAGTACCTTAGGGAGGTCCAGATCAGGTATCTAAAACTTGTATAAGGTGTATAAAAAACGGCTCGCTAATTCAAATAGAGATCAAATATATATTACATTTGGAAAAGAAAAACAGGAAAAGTTTTTTGCATTCAGTATGGAAAAAAATGAAAATTCCGAAATACTGTTTAACAAAACGAAGAAAATTATGTAAGAATGAAAATGGCTAATCACATGCATCTTAGTAACTATAGAGCTTTCTTTTCATTATTTCATGTTATTTACAAAATGTACTGTAGTTTTGAAGTTATATAATCAGTGCCAGCAATATAATCAGTGCGTGCACAAAGGCTCCGTTTCAATTTGAGCATAATTATAAAAAATGAGTCTTTTGATAGCGTGGCCTTTCGCGATATATAAATAACGCCTGATAAATAATCAGTGCGAGCCCAACGGCTCTAAAATCACAACAAATAACGGAATATAAAATAAATTAAGAACAGCGGTTTACCTACCTCGATCTATTTTTCTGAGGCGCTCAATTATGTAAATTTTCGGCGAACAATCAATATTTTCTTTGCGTTTCCTCGACGAAACCCGTGGATGAAAACGTGCATGAGTGATTCACAATACACGTTTCCGGAAAGTACGTCACCTTGGCTATAGAGCCTCGCTTCCATGACCGAAACATCGGACTTTGACTAATGTCAGGTACACGACAACGAGGCTCTATAGCCAAAGTGACGTACTTTCCGGAAGGATGTATTCACATCACATGAAAATGCTCGTCGGAAAAGCTTTGTATTTCGGTCGTATTTTGCGAATCTGCCACGTGATTTACTTACCACCGCCAGTACAACGCGACACGAATTTTAGAGCTATATGAAAGTTGCATGCCATATCTTCACCGCACGTCAAAAATGACTGGTTTTAGAATTTAGCAAACTTGTTACTTAGCATACTCCTTGTTACTGTAGATATTAAAGGAACAACCTTTTAAATAGATTAAAGTCAATTTATAATCGAACTAACTTACTGTAAAAAATTTAGCTTAAAAAATAATAAAATATAATTTTGTCATTTTTATGCAGATGCAGTTTACTTTTTATTAAGTTTTCCCATAACCTATATATAGTGCAACATGCATGCGCAGGGCGTCTATAAGATATATAGGGCAGCAATACGACGTTCTGATGAAGCACATACTGACAGTGTGATGCACTTTAAGCCTGGTGCTAACGCGGCTGGCTTTGAATTTTTGTCCAAACAAAATATTTAAGAGAAATAAATTATAAAAGAATATTATATATCTTAGAAATTTCATGCCTAAATTCTGAATAAGTCGATAGTTGGTATATATAATTCTGTATTTTGTTGTTTATGCATTTACCATTCGTATACAACAATATAACATGATTTAAGACATAACGAAAACAACGAAATACTGTAAGATTAGAACGTCTTCGTTCAAATTTCTTAATACTACTACAGCCTGGTTTCCATTTAGTCGTAACTGTCGTAAACATATCAAGGTGACAGATGTAATAAATGTCGATATATTTCTACAATCAATGGAAACTGATTTTCATATAATATACAGCACACAAAAGACAAGACTATTTCACATACAGACTACACTATTTCATATACTAAATGAAAACAAGGTTTAAGTGTCACATCACCGCTAAGAATTAGAAAGTATTCCATGAGTACTTTACACCGCGATAACTAGACGATCGCTGATTTCTGAAAGCTTTTGACTGTCAGCTTAATAACTATATGTAACAAAGCTGTAACAATGATTTTTCAACCATGAAATCATTGGTAGACTATAAATTAAGCTAAATATTGCATGAAATTTTACATTTCCAGCTACAAAATGCTGGTAATGCAATCCTCCCCAATATTTCGCGAAGTGTCCACCACTGCATGCAGTTATATATACTGCAAAAACTCATTAATAATTCATGAGTAAAACACAAAGAAAAATCAGACATAAGCGTGTCGTATCTTTATATGTGATAGAGATTTCCCTTGATTTACATAAACTTTAACTTTGATTTTCTTTACTTTACTTTAATACACAACGTATTTTTTGAAAATTACTTCGCCAATGAACTTACTAGATCGATCGTTTTTAAAGCAATTTAAAACATTCGCAGTGCGTGTTTTATAGACCTAACGATAGGCTCGGCTTCGCCTCGTATCTTTATATCTGATAAAACACTGCTGCTCATGTTTTAAATATAATACATAAAAAGTTATGTGAAATATTCAACAAAATATCTTCGTTTAGCTTCTAAGTAAAAATTAAGTCCGCAGACGATTCCTGTTGTGTGTGCTTTATGTCTATAGAATTACTCCAGTCGTACGCTTTTGTAGTCTAACAATCAATCAATATTCATTTGGCAGTACTTCCTCATACCACATATTGATAGTCTATCGGTTTTATAAAATGACTGTCTGCTATATGTATAATATGGAGGGAAAATATGAAGATATTGATAACTCTATCCGTTTCGAGACTTTAATTGCAAATCAGAATTCTCGATAATTTGTCCATTGAGCTGAACTTAGATTCTTTCACAGACTCGCCGCATAATCGAGCTAATTTCTGTTTAGTTGGCATAGTCATGCCTGATTGATGGTGATCTACTCAGAGATTGGAGTTACAGCCGTTTGCAACTCTTTCTCTAATATCCAATGACCATGCATATCTTCCTGCTTGCAATAGAGCTATATAATATCATACAGTTTTCAGGATCCTCATAATATAGGTCTGAAGTGGTGTCATGCATATGCAGTATATTTATGCGCTCTAAATTTATTTAATTGCTTGCAGGGGTGAGAACGAGGGCAAGCAAAGGAACAAGGATAGTTTTTTCGAGGAGCCCATGATCGCAGCTGATAGGAAAGAAAGCAAAGCAAAAAGGAAACTGGAAGTAAATATCCAACCTGGAAAATTAAAGGTATGTCTGTACATGAAACGCAGGGGTATTTTAGGTTTGGGGACTTGGATGATATCTCGTGAAATTTGGATAAAACAAGCACTCGTGAGTTTTTCAAAGACCTCATAAACTCACTCGTGCATTTTTTATCCAAATTTTACTCGAAAGCATCCTATTACCTATACTTACACCCCTTTTCCAAGTTTCTGAGCATACGGAGCGGACCCCTTATATAATTGTGACTTCACAAATAATAAGTCGTTTTCCTTCGCCTAACTAGGAAGTTCCTGTGCAGGCAGATCCAGACGTGACAGTCAACAGTAGTCTTGCCAGTAAACATTTCTTTGACGAAACAAGACGACCTGGTAGAACTACTACTATAACAAGCGATTCTGAACTTGCCACACTGCGTAGACCAGACAGCAAAACTACGAAATCTAGAAAATCACAAAATTCTGCCGTCACAAAACCGTTAAAACGAGCGACAGGAAAGACTAGTAAAGCGTGGAAGTAGTATATAACGTTGTGTATGTTTTGTGAAAGTTTGTGTATATATATATTGTAAGTATTATAATTTAGCCATTCTCATATTATGCGACCAGGTTTTGTCCGCCATTTTTGCTTGCCAAACCGCGCAACAAAAAAGATCTCAACAAATTAGGAAGGAGTGATTCAGTGATAAAGAGTACTTATAATCAATATATATATATATATATATATATACTACTGTGTTGTAACTTCTCCAATTCACTCCTTCGCTTGCATGTTGCCATCCAAAAATATCGAACAAGGACTGGTCCCATGGCGCACGAAAGGCTAATTTAGTGAGTTCTTGATAGTGCATGTATATATGTATATGCTATATTTAATATATTCAAGACATTTCTAACGATTTTAGTGTCATACATGCTATGCTAGAAAGAGCGATTGAATCACAAACTCGCAAGCCAGGCTCTCTACTCCGCTTCCCTGCCAAGAGGCTGGCTTGCGAGGTTGCTTGAATCACTGAGGAGTAGTGCTATTGATCAAGCACCGTGGTTTTCGTCAGGGGGGCCGCCCGAGCTTGAACCTGGGGACGAAGATGATTGAAACCTAAATTCTGGTTGATATATTATAGGCTTGTTAAATTAACCCAAGTATAGTTTTGATAATGATTTATTTTCTTTGTCATTTCTTTCATTAGGTTTAAACTATTAATATCTACACGAATCAACATATTCGTTGTCCCCGACCGATTATAAACATCGCGCGTATAAGTTTAGAGTGCACGGGATCAACTGTTTTCGGTAATTAAAGTCTTAATTGGTTTATGGAAGAGGAGCATACTTTCTTTCGCTTCCGTATTCCTCTGATTGGTTGGATTTGTCCACGTATACACTGTTGCTCACGCATGGTCATGGATCGATACATGTCTTAGTTATTTTGATGTAAACATTCTAGACCAAAGTTGCTGATTGTACGACCAACAGCACAAGCTAGGAAGTAGTTGCAACCATGCAGTCGGAAAATTCCATAGGACTAAGTGATATTTATCCAGTATCTTCTACACAAAATGTGTCCACATTCACCATCGTCGAGGTACCACGACGGTCGCTTGTGAAGAGAATTCTGGAATGTATTTTCTCTGCGAAAACAGCGAATCTGGTGAGTTTACTTTAAAGCCTCATTTCCTTTCAGTGCATGAACTTGCAAGCTCGCTGCGAGTGCTTCCGTGCAATCACAATGCTCGACAGTTTATTTTAATTACATGCAATCACTCGCAGCGAGCGAAAAAGAGGGCACAGCCCATAGTAGAGAGTGAAGAGTCCATGAGACAAAACACGACTACGCTACCGTGGTTTGTTTCCGAAATACCTGGGGAGAAAGATTAAGACATATTTCAACCTTTCGAGTGAAAACTATTGCATGGTCTCTGGCTCTATGACTTCATGACTGCTGTTTCTGCATGGCTCTCAAAGTCAAAATGTCAGTGCATTTTAATAAATGTTTTCCTTGACTGATTCCTCAGACACAAACAACGGCTGCTTATTGCATGGAGAGCAATACTTCCATGTATGCATTCATTGAGCTCTCGCAATTAAGTGTGTTCAGTTACTATCGAAATCGTACCCCTATAATTAACATGCATGACCTCCATATTTATTTCACTCTGTATTTAATAAAGTTATTTTAAAATTTGTGCAATGCATGTCCCTTTGTCTCAGAACTTATAGTTCTGTTTCCATGCAAATATTCTCCGTAATTTTAGTCAACCAAACCGACGACAAGGAAATTTTAAGGTGCCGGCTAATTGTCACTTAATTCCGTGTATTAACTATGGTTATAGCCATTTACATTACAATATATACCTGCATGACGTTACCGTGGTATGCGACACACTAGTGACATGCACTGTCTGCTCCCATGGTAATAAACGCCCATATAAATGCAGTCAAATTTCCTGTTCAATTCCCTTTAGAAACGTACTTTAGTTCATTTGAGAAATTATATCCTATATACAGTTATTTCAATTAAGGTTGTCCCCGAGCAAAGCGGAAAAGTCGAATACGAGCGGCGAGCGCGAAAGACTTGCTGGGAATCGCTTTCGCGCTCGTATTCGACTTTTCCGCTTTGCTCGGAGGCAACCTTAATTGAAATAGCTGTATACGTAAATTATTCAGAGTTTGTCATATAGTGATTTAAAAAACCCAAGGGCACGTGCTGCATGTTTACAATATATCTTAAAATCAACGCACTTTTTTCAACGATCCACATTACTAGCTGTTATACCATTGCCTTCCGGCATCCAAATTATACTTAGCTTCCTTTATTATTCGTACTTTCCTTAAAAGAAAGAAAACTGTTCCAAGCGTATAAAAGATTCAACAGTAAAAAGTAAAAACTCAATAAGGTAATTTATTATCTCTTTTTATTTTTTTAGTTGGCTATAACAGTTGTCACATGCATTATTCTTCTACGTCTGTTTTGTTTTGTTATATTCGTCGTTTTTGACATAGCATGTTTCGCGTATGAGAAAACTACAGTCACCAATTGTACTCGAAAAGTGCTCGTGTCCAGACCTTTGCCGTTTGTCCAGTTGTGGCTTGCTGTCTCAATTCTCATGTCTGCTGCGGTGCTTGTTGGCTTGCACTTCAATATTCCTGGAGTGTCCTTTTACGGTTTTAAACCTTCTTTCAAGAAATTGCTCAAAAACCAATTATTCTGGTCATTTAATTTAATAATGAGCATTGTACTGTGCAACTATGTCGTTCGTCTTACTCAGGAAGATCGGTCGAAGAAATCATTTCCGATTGTCCTGGCATTTCTGAAAATCTTTAATTTATTGCTTATTTATACCCTAAACTACGTCCATCCATTGAAATTTCCGGGAACGCTTGTAGATGCCAAACATACTGTTCCATTTTTTATATACTGGTCAAGTCTTGTGCTGCAGTTTTTGGAAAACTTGTTTTTATTTATCAGTAATTCCCTTGATATGATGGAAAATATCCATCCACTCGGTAGATCAGATGCAGATCGAGTTGTCCTGGTCATGCTGTACCTGGTTCTTTGTTCTAATGTAGCTTTTCATCTTCGCTCCGTTGCATTTTTCTGGCCAAAGATGTTTCATGGTGATAAAGATTTCTTCTCCAACATTACAACACTGGATAATATTCCCAGCAACGACTGAGATCCAAATAATATATCTCACTAGAAAGAGACAGTGCCTAAACATTTCTTCATCATGAAGTACTTTATTAAGGTAATTCCGCAGTTGTGCATTGCGCACTTTTACTGCGCACATCTTATAACTTATAATTTTTAAATTTTTAAAATTTAAAATAACTTATAATTTATGACAATTTTATGTTACTTCAAAACATCTTTGGTTACATTCGTGCAAAGAATTACGTTAAAATCAATGTTTTCAAAAAAGACATACAAAACTCAAAAGTGTAGCTAGGGTTCCTGTGTCTGTAGTATATTTATTTACTTGTATTTCACGTTTTAATGCCACGGTGACCCCTGTTTTTTAACTGATAATTTATTTCTTTAAAATTAAAAGAAAAATCATTTCTGGATCTTGAAAAAAAATGCTTTATCAATGCATGTTCTCAAAGAAAGATATGTAAAGAAGTGTGGGAAAGACATTTGTGGATCAGAATTGCACACGTTAGTAGTTTCATTTTGCTCAAAACACAATATTTTTTCAAAAATAATTACAAGATAGGTACTAAAGTAAAATCCGCGCTAAAAATGTCAATAAATATCGGGCTGTTGCATGTGATTTCGCTGTTACTCGTAATGAGCGTCAAGATGGCGCCATATTGGGTAAAGGTGGTATATTGTGATTGTCATATCTTCTTAACGAGTTCGGTGACCCCCAGTTTTTTGTGTGATTTACTTTAAGTATATCATAAACTCCTTGCCTGGGAAGTTTCAGCACATTCTCATTTCGGGAACAATTACTGCGGAATTACCTAAGTTATGTTGAGGATAATAGTATATTTGCTCTTTGGTGGACTGCCTATATATGGGTAACCTGTGTCACAGACCTTACCTTACTATTGTAAGGTCTGTGATCATGACACATGAGGCTAATATATGGGCAGAGGCAAATAATTGATCTACGAGCCAATAATTATTGTTTTATTCACTTTCATTTTCATTGCAAACCACAACAAGCCATTACAATAACAAATCTTCCTAGTTTAAGCTATTAATTTATATGCATGTACTAAGAAATTTTAGTCGCCTATATATTCTCAATCTCATCAATTATCATAATTATCATGAACTTTGAGCTGGCACAAATTTTTCCTATAAGAGTCAGTGCATGAGAGTTTTCACATATGCCTGATGTCATATTACCCTTTGGATCTGTTTCTTTTTTTGGCATAACAAATCAAAAGTTTGTTAAGAGTTGTTTGTTAAGACTTTCGAAGAGCTGAATTTCGCATTCGTCACTTTTTCTCTTTGAGTGGCGTGTTTCCCAATTAGCCATGCTGAAAAATACAGGTAAATAAATATATGTTATTTCCCGGCTAGGAGGACCATGCCATTGCCTCAGTCGTGACTCACTCGTGAGGTAATGGTATGGTCCAGTCAGCCGGTAAATAACATATATTTATTTACCTGTATTTTATGAGAGTCTTTCTCTTCATTCATTTAAGTTAGAAATTACCGCAACGACTGTAGTCTGCGATAGCAGACTGATCTCAGCCGCCCTCGATCCCCTGGAGTGGCAGAGAAACAGTCTGCGATCAATCAACACCAATGCCGTACAGTTGCCCCCAAACAACGGAGGGCGGAATAGATTGGTTGAAATTTCCTTTGTGATCACGCCGACACTTGCATAAATTACATTGTTATGTATAATAATTCATAGTTGTTGCCACAGAATAAGGCACACAGAAGGGCCACTTACGTCGGAAGCTTTGAAGTTTCTATCACCCTGGCCGCCATCTTCCTAGCCAGTCGATTACATTTTCTGGCCAATAAACGCGCTGTATTGGCTGGCCGCCATCTTCCTGGCCAGTCAATTGCATATTTTTGCATAGAAAAATGGTGACACGTTGCACCGCTGAGTGGCCCTTCTGGTACTGGTCTTTATTCTGTGGTTGTTGCTCTGCGTCCGCCATCTTGGACTTGACATTTTTTGAATAATTTTAAATTAATTATGCAAAATACTGCTCACGTAACTGTACAGCGGTGTTGATTGATCGCAGACTGTTTCTCCGCCGCTCCAGGTAGGAAGGTCGGCTGAGATCAATCTGCTATTGCAGACTTCAACGACTGAATTGTCCAATTTATATATTCATTGACTGTAAGTTTCTATGATTACAGTGTGTCTAGTCTACTGTAAGTGGGGCCACTCACACAACACTAACCAATCACATTTCAGCAGGGACCGCGGAGACGGGGGGGCTGGGGGGGCTTTAGCCCACTTTTTTGACAGCCAAAATTATTAAAATAGAAATCTAAAATGAAACTTTCTAAAATTAATTAAACCTCGGTTCCCCCCCCCCCCCACTCTCTAATACGCTCCGCGGGCCCTGTTCAGGACAAAAATTGAAAAATCAATAAGCAGCGCA